TGGTGGCCCCCCCCCCCCCCCCCCCCACCCTCCCCCACGTTAGTCCACCCCATGGTCCGTCCCGGCTTTGTAGGGATGCGAGGTCAATGGTCTAACGACTACGGCATGCACGGCTATACGGCATGCACGGCTATAGCCCCCCCCCCCGAAACAAACAACACATTATTTAATAACACGGAAAAGGTATTTGACTCGGATGAGGATGGCCGAGAAGGCGAGGATGGAGGTGTTGGCGACGATGACGACGACGTGGTGTACGATAAGTTCGGCAACGTCATGGACAAGGCTGCCGCGGAAGAGGCCGCGCTGCAGGAGTTGCGGGAGGCAGCGCGCGTGGCCAGGGCTGCCAAGGTGAGGCAGTGAGACAAACTTAAGAAAAATGGTATCCCCGCACCAATGGTATACTGCTGTACGACGTCTCCTACGGACTCGTGTTTCAAGTGGTTGTGGCCCGAACTCTGTCTTTCCCAAAACGTCCCCAAAACTAAAAATTTAATGGAATTTCGTTTTTAGTAAATATTGTCTACACACTTCCTCTGCCTTGTTTGTGGCTGTTTGTATGCATATGTCTGGCAGCGTACCCGACAACGATTGATTGTGCGTGAGATTTGAGTGAGGTTCACCCGTTTTTTTTTTTTCGTGTACATGGCGCATGGAGCGCAGGCCGGCGCTCTCCTTTGACCTTGACGTTTTTTATACCGTCGTCGCAACGCTACTTGCTCAGGAGAAGGCTGCGAAGGAGGCTAAGGCCGCTGCTTCGGGCTCTGGCGGTGCCCAAGAGGACCAAGGTGCAGCAATAATTTTGCCATTTTCGAATCCGCGTGCGTGAAACTCACGTGAATGCTCACACATGGACGTTCGTTTCATGCAACACGCAAACTTCCTGCCCATTCGGACGTACGCAGCGCGCATGACATGGGACGCGTTACAAAGAATGCTTTCGTGCTGCTGCGGCATCGAAGCAGATGACCACACCACATACCATGATTCGTCTTCCGGGGCCTGGCAATCAATCTACATGGTCGACGGCGACGCCCCCCGCGTTAGGACGTTTTCCAAGAGAACGTTGCCTTCGTACGACTACTTTCATGGGCCAGTGCTGCATTTCGTGAACAGCTTTCCCGTCGGTTGTAGCGTGCTGCAGGAGGGGGGATGATTGCGGAGGGGATATGTTCAAAAGCTCGAAACTCTCAAGATCTTTGCAAAGATCTCTAGACGGAGAAGGAGAGCAGCAAGGTCGTTGAGGGTGTGCTTCTTGACAGGAACAAAAAAAACAACTAGTTCCGTCCGTGTATACAGCAGTAGGGTTAATTACCGGAGGGCTTTTCGAGTTGGAGTTACTGCAGAATAGAGTGTTGTTACCAACCGATTTTTTCATAAAATAATTATCAAAAAATTATCGGCGAAACGGCAGACGATGGCGCCACCGACTACGGCTCCAAGCTGGACAAGCAGATGGACGCAGCGGCGGCCAAGCAAAAGGCGGGGGGGCGCTTGACCAACAAGGAGAAGAAGCTTCTCAAGTGAGGGAGCCCATGCCTGTCGACTCAACTTAACCTATTTCCACTACATCTCTTCGCCGTCGTCAGCTCCTGAAATAAGCCCTCCTCCATCGAGTTCTATGAGTTGCGACCAGTAGCTTGGATGTTCTGGTGCAGCGGCCATTTTTTTTTTTTTTTCAAGCACCGCACGTATCACGCGTAACAGAGCGTTCGTGAGTACGTGTTGTCTTCAAATCAATCACGGCGATGGGTTGATACGCGAACGGCCCGTATTTTTCAAACAGAGTGGTATGCCGCTGTGTCTTTCACGCGTTTTCCTCCCAGGAACTTTGCGAGATGTCTAGAGAACCTCCACAACCAGGCGGCGCTCTGCTGTTGCTTCTGTGTTTTTATCTTCCTCTGAAGGAAACTGGAGAAGGTTGAGCTCCATCCATCCATGATAGCGCGCTGTTGCTGCTGTATGTTCCTCTCTCTCTCCCTCTCTCTCCCTCTCCCTCTCTTTCTATTTCTCCTTCTCTCTCTCCCTCCCCCCCTCTCTCTCGCTCTCTCGCTCTCTCTCTCTCGCTCTCTCTCTCTCTCTCTCTCTATCTCTCTCTCTCCCTCTCTCTCCCTCTCCCTCTCTTTCTATTTCTCCTTCTCTCTCTCCCTCCCCCCCCCTCTCTCTCTCTCTCTCTCTCTCTATCTCTCTCTCTCCCTCTCTCTCTCTGTGAAGGAAACTGGAGGAGAGAGAAGTCGCCAGGACGGCCGCTGAGACGAGGTCGAACCAGGGCCTGACCGCCTTCAGCCTGTCCATGAGGCCGGGCGGCGGGGGCGGTGGCGAGATGACCGCCGCCGAGGACGGTTCGACGGACGTTTCCGTGCTAGGCTTTTCGATCGCGGCTCCGAAGGTAAAAATGAAAGACTTGACGTACGTACGTTCGTTCCCACGAGCAGCAGTGTTTGTGTACGGACCACGAGGCTTTGCAAGGCTCGCTTGTAGTCACTCGTTGACGAAGCCCCCGGGGTACCCCCCCCCACCCCTCCCCCCCTCGGTGTTTGCCATGGGGGTTGGGTTTTCGTCGCTTGGCAACGACGTTGTAAAACAAGCCGCCCCCCCCGGTGTTTGCCATCGGGGTTTGGGTTTTCGTCGATTGGCAACGACGTTGTAAAACAAGCCCCCCACTCGGTGTTTGCCATCGGGATTGGGTTTTCGTCGATTGGCAACGACGTTGTAAAACAAGCCAATTCACTTCGTGAACTCGGCAACCAGGTTACCGTCTTTTTTTTTTTACCTCTGTTTTTTTTTTTGGCGGTAACCATAATGGTGGTCGAGTAGATCATGTTGTGCGGGGTCGAGAAACCTCGCTCCGCGCAACGGGGGATGATCGCACCACGTTGTGTTAAAATGGTCAAGCTTCCTCGAGGCAGTTACACAGTGCTTACAACTGTCTCTGGAAGTGAAAGCACCAGAAAATAAATCAAGTCATACGTAGCTGTCATCCGTACGCAAGGAAGTAAGCACAAGATGCCGAACACCCTTAGCAGGATGGCAGCTCACCCTTCATGCGACTCGCCAAATACCTCACGGCGCTTCGCGCTTGGTGATGTGAGAGCCTGGTCCGGTGAGAACCCGGCGTGCTCCGTCCCGGCTTTGTAGGGATGCGAGGTCAATGGTCAAACGACTACGGCATGCACGACTATGAGTACCCCCCCCCCCCCCCCCCCTATTCCCCATCCC